CGAGAGATTTGTGGACGATAAATCCGACACCTCCTTGGGACAGATGGTCGCCCTCCCGGTGATAGAACAAGTTGCCGGACTCGAGGATTGCCGTGTCCTCCCCCTCTCTTCGGACCTCGGATAATTCAATAATATGCCAGCGCAACTTGTCTACCTCTTCTTCCAGCTCCAGTATCTTCTCGTCAGTCCTCAGGGTGCGTGCGTTATATGTTGCCAGGTCGAGTCGTCGTAGGTGGCAACCGAACCTCCACCGGAGATTCTTAGCACCCCCCTGCCCCGCCGTTACCATGGTCGCCACCGTAGCCAGGAATAGCGGGGCCGCCGGGGACTGGGGGCCGTCAGTTATAAGATAAGAGTAATAATTCGCCATCAGAAAGGGTTTGTGTCACTGACGTTGAGTAAATGCATTTTCGATCATGTTTGTCTCACCCACCGACAAGTTGCCTTCAATCATTCAAAGGTGGGAAAGTTACAGAGATATATTATTATGTTGTTATATAAAACATCATGGAGGGCAGACAGTCTGCAGCCCCGTAATGAAGGGACCCGACTTGGGCAAAGCTACTTAGGTGTGAGTCAAACCAAGACGCAGAGAGCGTCATTGAGAATAGCGTCGCACCAAACAACCATCGCAAAGACGCAACGCTGCAGAACGCAACAAGCATCAATACGACTATCGTCGGGCTTACACCATCCCAAGGTTCCCCATACATCCCAGCAGACATCACCACCCGCATACCTCCATCGACCAGAACCACAAGAGTGCGTCGAATCAGGCGCAGCACACCCGCAGATCCATCACAAGACGCAATACCGCAAGTAGCAATAAGCATCAATGCAACTATCATACGGATGGCACCTCCTCACAACACACCCACATGACCCCTATCGATTTTGGTAACAAAGTTTTTATATAAAAATATCACCAACGTATCATAATAGCACGCTACTAAGACGCCAATGAACAAAACTCCACGTATCATAGCGCTAATGCACTAAGACATGAAGTTGAGTATGCCTGTTACACTTTAAAGTGCTACCAAACACACTCATCATCCCAATCCGAAAGATAGACGACGCATCGTTATGCGCTACGACGTCGCCCACAAACGGTATGGGTGTGCGATGTCCACGGGAAAGCCGTATTGCTACAACAAACCCGCTTACCACCAGCACTAAGATGATATGTCTAGGACACATCGGTTAGCGAGTCCAAGTTTATCTCGGACCAATTGCTCGTGAAGCAGCATACACGCCACTATAATATTCCTTTTCAAGTCCCTAATAAGGACTAGTTATTTTGCTACAGTACTAGGAGCAGTCGGTCACCCGACTACTCCATACAATGCTTATGCATCAAGGAGACCTCCTATAATATTGCTTTTGTATCATAGACCTTACTTTCATAAGTCATTAATATATAGGGTTCGAACCCACGACCCTACTATTGTAATGCATATTAATCATAGAGACCTTCTTTAGTATTGCTTTTGTATCACAGACCTTACTTTCATAAGTCATTAATATATAGGGTTCAAACCCACGACCCTACTATTGTAATGCATATTAATCATGGAGACCTTCTATAGTAATGCTTTTGTATCATTGAGTTTAATATCATAAGTCCCTAATATAGGACTAGTCATTGTGCTACAGTACTTCAGGCAGTCGGGCTCCCGACCACCCCATATATATGTACAACTGCAGGTATGTATCTCCGACAGCTCCTCCATACAAGATATCTATACATGAACACCTTCCATAACTTAGGAAAATTTTCTTTTATACATGAACTCCTTCCACAACTTAGGAAAATTTTCTTTTATACATGAACTCCTTCCAAGACAGACAATTTTTAACAAATTTTCTAATTATCTTATAAATGTTATTTATCTTTATTTTTATAATATTTTCGACTTGTATTTCTATTATTTATCTTATTTTAAATATTTTTTTCAAGTTTTTAGTAAATTTATTTATTATGGAAGACAATATTTTGCCTTTAATTTACTATGAATTGGTCTAATGTCTGAAATGTATTTATTATATTAACTGTATGGTTATTAATGTAATTTTATTGTTTAATATATATCATTTAAGACTATTTTTGACGCCCCTTTATATTGAATTTAATTATTAATAATAATATTGGGCCGTCACAATATGTATCTGAGTTCTGAGCATCTGTCTGAAGTATCATAGTGGCCGCATAGATGGACTATTATTTAGCTTTTTTGTTGAAAGGTGACTAGATCAAGAGTGTTCTAAGTTATGATTCTAGAAAATCTGTTCAGCCATTTGAAGATCATCAGCTCTTTTTTTTGTTTTGGGTTTACTAAATTTTTACTTTACTTACTTACTTACGTTCAATTATTGCATTGTATTTTTATAGAGATTTTATTATTTAATTTTATGGACTTCTTAATTCAATCCAAATTTACTGGGAACTTCTATGGTATCATCTCAACCCTTTCTACAGGAAACTTCTCTCTTTTTTAATAATAAATTTACATTTTTCCATACGTATATTATGACATACTCATAAATATATGGTCTGACACAACTGGTTACTTCGCCTACGCGGATTCCAGATGTGGAGGATCATGCACCTTCCCTGTTGGACCTTCTGCTGACCTCTCACCCGGACGGATATCAGATTTCCGTCGACGCCCCTTTAGGCTCCTCGGACCATTGTCTGGTCCGGAGTGTGGTGCCACTCACGCTGAAATCGCGGTTGCATTCTACAGGCTGCCGCCGTGTTTGGCACTATAGGTCAGCCGATTGGGATGGGATGCGGTCTTTCTCTGCATCCTACCCTTGGGGGCGGGTTTGCTTCGCCGGATGATCCCAACGTTGTTGCGGATTCTGTTGCTGATGTGGTACTTCAGGGTATGGAACTTTTTATTCCTTCCTCTGTGGTGCCCATTGGAGGCAAGTCTCAGCCACGGTTTGGTCGCTCCTGTAAAATAGTATCATGCTATGAGCAGGAGTGCTACCAAACCTGGGCTGATGCATCAGCGTCCCGGGATGTAAACACCAGCGCTCTAAAAAAGAAGTATAATTCCGCCTCTAGGTCCTTCAAAAGAGTCATTGCCAAGGCAAAGTCAGAGCACATAGGCAGAATTGGCGAGAAACTAGTTCGCCTTCCTTCTGGAACCCGTGCATTCTGGTCTCTCGCCAAGGCTGTCCAGGGTAATTTCTGTCAGCCATCTCTTCCATCTCTGCACAGGGAGGACGACTCACTGGCCCATACCGCAAAGGAGAAAGCTGATCTTCTAGGCTCTTTCTTTGCGTCTAACTCGACTCTCGATGACGGGGGGAGTACGCCGCCGACCATCCCGCGGTGTGAGTGCTCCATGCCGGAAGTGCACTTCACACAGCGCTCGGTTCGCAAAGCACTCCTCTCCCTGGACATCCACAAGTCGAGTGGGCCTGACGGAATCCCCCCAATTGTGCTGAGGACGTGTGCTCCAGAGTTGGCACCGGTTTTAACGCGTCTTTTCCGGTACTCCTACTCCCTAGGCGTAGTCCCAAAATCATGGAAGACGGCTTACGTCCACCCGATCCCTAAAACGGGCGACCGCTCTGACCCGTCCAACTACCGGCCAATCGCCATCACCTCCTTGTTCTCCAAAACAATGGAGTCGATTGTAAACTGCCAGCTCATGAGGTACCTTGAAGATCACCAGCTGATTAGTGACCGCCAATACGGTTTTCGCCGTGGTCGGTCAGCTGGTGATCTTCTGGTCTACCTAACTCACAGATGGGCGGAGGCAGTAGAGTTCAAGGGGGAGGCAATGGCCGTTAGTTTGGACATTGCGAAGGCCTTCGATCGGGTTTGGCACAAAGCGCTTCTTTCGAAGCTCCCTTCCTATGGGCTTCCCGAGAAATTGTGCGATTGGATCACCAGCTTTCTTGCAGATCGGAGCATCAAGGTCGTTGTAGACGGTGCAAGCTCCGATTGCAAGCCTATTAATGCTGGTGTTCCACAGGGCTGCGTGCTACCGCCAACACTGTTTCTTCTGCATATCAATGACATGTTGCATACCCGTAACATTCATTGCTATGCAGATGACAGCACTGGTGATGCTCTTTACACCGGCCGAGCCAATATTTCTCGGGAAAACGTCTCCGAGTGCCGGGACAAACTTGTGTCTGAAGTCGAGTCTCTGCTGGACAGTCTCGGATTGGGGGCGACTAAATCTAGTCCAGTTTAACCCCCAGAAGACACAAGTTTGCGCGTTAACCGCTAAAAAGAACCCCTTTGTCGTATCCCCTCAGTTTCAAGGCACTCCCCTTGTTGCCTCAGCCAGTATCGGAATCCTCGGCGTCGACATATCGAGTGACGTGCAGTTTCGTGGTCACTTGGAAGGGAAGGCCAAATTGGCCAGCGCAGAGCGGCTCGAATCGTCGACGACCGAGTGCTTTCCGATCGGCTCGATTCACTGGCGCTGCGAAGAGATGTTGCATCTCTTTGCGTATTTTATCGCATCTATCACGGGGAGTGCTCTGAGAAATTGTTCGGATTAATCCCAGCCGCCAAATTTCGTGAACGCACTACACGGCAAACGTCCCGATACCATCCACACCATCTGGATGCTTGGCGGTCCACCACTGTACGTTTCACAAGGAGTTTTCTTCCACGTACAACCTCTCTGTGGAATAGTTTACCACCGGCGATTTTTCCGGACCGATACCGATGACCGATCTTCAAGAAAAGAGCTTACTCCTTTCTAAAGGGCCGGCAACGCACCCGCAATTCTCCTGGTGTTGCGGTTGATCATGGGCGGCGGTAGTCACTTAACATCAGGTGAGCCGCATGTTCATTTGCCCCTTCTTCTATAAAAAAAAATAAAATAAACAACGATGGAAGTATTAAAATATTAGTCCCTTTGAGAAGATCACATACTATGTTCAGCAGTGGATGCGTGGTGTGCTGTAATGATGATAGTATTATGATTATAAATATATATAGCAGACTTATTGAAAAATATCAGTACCTGTAGGTGTTGACAACTTTGCCAGGTTCAAAATATATTTCATGGGTTTTCTTCTCATAACTGCTGATTTATTTGATGATGTAGCTAAAAGAAAATAATAGGATTAACTTTGAAATTATTTATATCATTATTATACCAGTATCTGTGATGACTTACAAAAATATATTTTCACTGTATAAAAATATTATAAAATAATTTAGTTTTAAAAAGTATAAAAGAGGGGTGATAACACATTGCAAGCTTAATATTTATGAAAACTAGACCTATTGGTTGATCATCAAAGCGTCATCCTTCTGTCAGCCGTAATCATTACATGCATTATCCTTTTAAGTCCGATAGTGCATATAAATAGTATGTAATAATATTCTAGTTAGATTAATTAATGAATCATGGTAAAATTACTACTAGTTAGATAACTACTTAATTAAGCATATTTTATAAAGAAACTATATACATAATTCATACTATATTATGTTCCTAATTCATTCCATAATATGTTTACTTATTCTATAATCTATAAAGACAAACCTGGTATATTCAAAGTAGGCACAGCAATGTTACTGATTCTGTTATTTCTGCATTGAAACTTTTCTTCAAAATGTGAGTGACACATGGCGATACTTGAAGTTGAATATGTGCATATTTTCGAAGTCTAGTAAATCACCGCCAAAGCCATACCCTAAATCGTTCACTATCGTTTTCCATGTTTGGAAATCCGTGAAGAACATGATGCATGCATAAAATACTTAAGAGATACTTATTAAAAAAAAACTTATTTAGTTAACACGTATGCTTATGACAAATAATGCCCTTGAACCCTTGATGCAAGTCGTTTAGACGAGATGATATACTGTCACTGTCCTTAAGTCCGGGGACACAGCTAGGCTTACATATTTTTCTACAAAATGTCACAAAATACAAATAATTGAAAATGGTTGTACGGAAAGCGTAAATAAATTCATGTGCTGCCAGATTGTTTCAAAATCATACCAAAAACATCTAGTTATGGTCTTTTTAATGAACAGTTTTACGAAAGCACATGTAATCGGTATTTATTTATAAGCACACGTTAAAAACTTTCATCACAGATTTTTATTAACTTTAAACAAAAGAAAATATCTTAATTTCAGCTACACTTATTTTCTACTAATTGGAATATTTTCATCACGGACGGAAGAAAACATCGATGTAGTGAAATACTCAATTCGTGAAAATCCTACCCAGTCTACTCGTAAGCGTTCCAGTGCATTAAACTAACCCAGAACATCGTTACAGCGAATTTTAAAGAAAGATTTACATCTTCACCCGTACAAGATTCAGATAGTACAGGAATTAAAAGATACACTATCCACAGACTAAATTTCGCAAATGAAATGTTGAACCGCTTTACTTCATTTAATAACGTGTTATTCTCTGATGAGGCTCACTTTCACATCAACGGCCATGTCAATAAGCAAAATTGTCGCCCTTACATAGCCCTAAAGTGACAGTTTGGGCGGCTATGTCAGCGCATGGCATTATAGGCCCTTACTTTTTTGAGGACGGCAGAGGCCGCGCGCTTACTGTTACTTCACAACGGTATGTAGCTATGATCCAGGACTTTTTTACACCAGAGTTGCAAAATTTTCCAGGCTTCAATACGCGGACCTGGTTTCAACAAGATGGAGCAACTGCCCATACCTCTAACGTCGCTATGCCGGTCGTCCGTCAACTTTTCCCTAATAAAGTGATCTCTCGAAGAGGAGATATTCCTTGGCCACCACGTAGTCCAGATCTGACCCCAATGGACTTTTTCTTATGGGGTTATCTTAAGACTAAAGTGCCCGAAACCAACCCGCGGACAATTGACGTCCTGAAAGAAAATATCCAAAGAGAAATGGCAAACATTACAGAGCTTACTTGCCGCGCAGTGATGGATAATTTTAAACGTCGCTTACAGGAGTGCCGCGATCGTAACGGATTACATTTAGATGATGTAATTTTCAAAAAATAATTCCCATTTTATAAGGATTATGACAAAATAAAAACCTTTTTCATAATGTCATTAGTTTTTTTTAATTATTTTTTTACATTTCAAGGGACTTATGGGCCACCCGTTACATTGTCTTTTTCAGGCTCCAGGCGATCAGCATATTACACAGTTGGTGGGAAAATCCGATATAGAAGACTTTTCTTCAGATTCTGGAGATAATCAGGATCACGAACCACCTAAGTACAGCGTCTGGTCGCCGTTCGCAAACTTTGTCAAGCTCATCTGATGACGAAACTGTTGCTGCGGCGCCGTCTCCAACTTTATCGGAAGACTCCCTAACTATACATCACGAAACTTTCCGACGACCTAACAGACGTGGTCGTGGGCGTCCGGTAACTAGACGCGTTGGTAGAAGCATCAGACAGGGTTTCTTACGCTCTATTTCAAGACAAAGTGAACGTGTGCCAGAGGACGAGTGGACCGCAGAAGCATTGAATCCACAGGTGTCAAATCTAAAGCAATCCGCTTATCTGGAAAAGGATTATTCTACTTTTAATTGGTATGATTTCTTCGATCAATAAGTAGATGATGACATTCTCCAGACTATGGTGGATTGTACAAACAGAATTGAAGTACTAGCTCAAAGGAATTAAAGTTTACTCAGGCATGACGATGATTCTGTCAGCTCTAATGTACGAGGGCGGCACTGAAAATTTCGGGAATCAAGGAAGTGACACAACATTACTATTTAAAAATGTATTTATTGCTTTTCGAAGTATTCTCCGCGAAATTTGACACATTTTTCCATACGATGGAACCAATCATTGAAGCAACCATTCCATTCGGAAGTTGGGGTCTCCAAAATGGCCGTTTTGTAGGCGTCGACAGCTTCTTCAGGTGATGAAAATCTCTGTCCACGCAATTTATTCTTTATTTTAGGGAAAGTATAGAAATCATTAGGGCTTAAGTCGGGGCTGTACGGCGGATGGTCTAATAATTCTATGTTTTCTTGCTCTAAAAATTCTTTTGTTCTGTGTGCGGTGTGAGAACTCGCATTATCGTGATGGAAGACGATGTGGCGGTTGCAGTTCTCTTTACGGCATTCAGAAACGACCTGTGGCAAACAAATCCTAGCATACCATTCTGCATTAACCATTTTGTCCCTCAAGAGGAATAGTCGTAACATGGCCGGTTTCGGAGACAAACGTGGCCACCATTTTTTTTGCAACACTCCGTGAACGAACAATTTTTGTTGGCTTTAACCCATTTTCGAACACCCAAACTCGTGACTGGTTTTTTGGTTCGGGTTCGTACGCGTATATCCAGGATTCGTCACCTGATACGATGTTGTATACAGCATTTGAGGATCCTGCGTGGAATCTTTCGAGAGTTCTGACGCACCAAGTAACGCGAGCCGCTTTTTGCTCTTCACAGAGCGAATGCGGTATCCATCGGGAAAACAACTTTTTTACACCTAATTGTTCATGCAAGATTATTTGTATTTGACTCATGCAAATTTCTAAAGTTGCCTGAATTTCGCGGTATGTCACATGTCGATCTTCCTCAATCAGCTTACACACAGCATCAACGTTTTCTTGAGTGACTGCAGTTTTTGGACGACCTTGACGGGGATCATCACTGAGCTTGACACGTCCACGTCGAAATTCAGCAAACCAGCGATAAATTAGGGTTTTGGATGGGGCTTCATCACCAAATGCAGAAATCATCCGGTCAACACACTGTTTTTGTATTAAACCACTTCGAAAGTCATAATAAATCATCGCTCTTGAATTTTCTCAAAGACTAATATGACAGGAACAGTGGAAATATTCCATTCCCGATACTTTTAGAGCAGCCTAGGTACGTCCAATTGGACATGTACTAGTGTGAAAAGTGGCGAGTTCCTTTAATCGCCAATATGATGACTCGAAACGGATTCTTTGCTGTCAGAGCACGACTGAAAGTTGTTTTTGACCAAAACGTTACACAAGAAAAAAAGACCACTTCTAGACAGAATTCGTCACGGTTGTCTCCAACAGTCGAGGCCTAAATATATGTGTGTAAACGAAATGATTGTCCTTTTCTGGACGCTGCCATCTTAGACAATATTGTCCAAATAAGCCAAATCCAGTGGACCTAAAATTGTTTGTCTTAGCTTCTTCGCAAGGCATTGTATGCGACTATCGTTTATCAAGGATTCTACGTTTCCTCAACTAATAAACGAGGGATTTGGTTTGGGCGAGGCAGCAGTTTCATACTTGACAGAATCACTTGTTCCTGGCTATCATTAATTTTTATCGCTATTTCACGTATGTCAAACTATGCGATGAATTTCACGGAACAGGAACGATAAATAAAAATCGAATTCCTAAACAATGCAATTTACCTGATGAAAAGTTTTCGTAAAAAGCCTCATTGCACTAGTGTAGCTTTAATTAGGAAAGATGGTAAATTGTTCGCGATTATGTGGCTGAATGATAAACCTGTTCTTATGATGTCATCCTGGTATTATACGAATGTGACGGATGGTCCAAAAAGAACGTTATGAACGCGTTAAAATCTCCGAATTCGTTCGAACATAATCAAAACATAGATAAACAATAGAGTAGATTTAACTGATCGAATGCTTGTCCTTCACGTAATCGCACGAACAAATGGACCATTCGTGTCATATCCCATCTTTTTGATTTAGTGGTCAACTCATGGTTACAATATAGAGACTTTCATTCGCAACGACCGTATTGGTAAGGGGTGTGGAGGGGTGGCGATTTACCTTTGTTCTTACATTCCCTCTACTGTTGTAAGTTTGTCCACTCAGCCTCCTTCTTCCGATGCGGTCGAGCATTTATTAAAACTTAACACTGCCTTATACGAAAATTCTTCTAGGTGTTTGTTACAGTCCGTCCCTCCACGTTGATTACTTTTCCTCTTTTGAATGTTTATTAGAAAATTTTACACTGTTCTATAGTCACACCATAATTTTTTTTTATTTATTTAATAAGGCTTACCAACTAAATACATATAGAAACAATTATTATGAAGTGCACTTAAAAAAATTGTATATATGCATTTAAATTAAAGGTAAA